GGCAGTACACTTCGAGCTATGTTCTGATCTGACCACTGCAGCTTTTCTTGCGGCATTTGCTCGCTTCGTCGGACGGCGAGGATTTCCATCCAAAATAATGAGCTACAATGGAAAAACCTTTGTCGGAGCCAAAAGAGCCACTGAAAAACTATTTATAAAATTTATAGAGGAAGTCTCGCCTGAAATCATTGATTGGCAATTTATCCCACCAAGTGCCCCACATATGGGTGGACTATGGGAATCAGCTGTAAAAAGCTTCAAAACACATTTTAAAAAAGTCTCTGGCACACACAAATTTAACTTTGAAGAATTTACTACATTATTAACCCGAATAGATGTCGTTCTTAACTCACGGCCCCTCTCTGCGCTCTCGCAAGATCCCTCCGATTTCACTGCCCTCACCCCTGGGCATTTTCTTAGAGGAGCTCCACTTCTGGCAATACCCGAACCAGACGAGCAATCCTTATCTTTAATGAATCGATGGGAACGAATGAAAATTCTCCATCATGAATTCAGTCGAAGATGGAAGGAAGATTATTTAAAAGACCTCCATAAATGATACTGATGGAAAAACGCTCAAGAAGCGCCAAAGATTGGAGACTGTGCCCTAATTCATGACGAATGTCTTCCCCCTACGGAATGGCGACTCGGCCGTATAGAGAAACTATATCATGGCTCCGACGGTCATATCCGCGTAGTTGATCTCCGTACACAAAGCGGCATACTAACTCGACCACTCGTCAAGCTATGTTTCCTTCTAACCGCCTCTCCTACCGGTTGCGCGAATACCGGTACCTAAAATCGTCAAACCGCAATAAACGCAACAAAGCCGTAACAAAAACCGAGAATATCAAAAGGTGCATAAATCCGTACCCTCAAACCCACACCAAGTGGCTTACGCCTAGCAATCATGTTCATAACTGCTTGCATCTATTCTATACTAAAGTCCGTTCTCCCCTAATGTAGATAAATATGGACGTGGAAATGATTGAAGCCGCACCAACTCCAACTATCCGTTCGGAAATCACCGTGCCCCGCTCGGCAGCACCGCCAGTAGCAGCTCCTCGCTCTACTGTGCCGCTTACCGCAGCAGCTTNAGATCATGGCAGCTCTTCCACCTGAACGCTGCACTTTCGCTCTGCCCTTCACTACCACTGGTGTTGACTTTACTGGGCCTTTCCAGATAAGGCTTCCATGTTAATGACTTCAACCTTTACGAAGGGTTATGTGGCTGTCTTTGTATGCTTTACGACAAAGGCAGTACACTTCGAGCTATGTTCTGATCTGACCACTGCAGCTTTTCTTGCGGCATTTGCTCGCTTCGTCGGACGGCGAGGATTTCCATCCAAAATAATGAGCTACAATGGAAAAACCTTTGTCGGAGCCAAAAGAGCCACTGAAAAACTATTTATAAAATTTATAGAGGAAGTCTCGCCTGAAATCATTGATTGGCAATTTATCCCACCAAGTGCCCCACATATGGGTGGACTATGGGAATCAGCTGTAAAAAGCTTCAAAACACATTTTAAAAAAGTCTCTGGCACACACAAATTTAACTTTGAAGAATTTACTACATTATTAACCCGAATAGATGTCGTTCTTAACTCACGGCCCCTCTCTGCGCTCTCGCAAGATCCCTCCGATTTCACTGCCCTCACCCCTGGGCATTTTCTTAGAGGAGCTCCACTTCTGGCAATACCCGAACCAGACGAGCAATCCTTATCTTTAATGAATCGATGGGAACGAATGAAAATTCTCCATCATGAATTCAGTCGAAGATGGAAGGAAGATTATTTAAAAGACCTCCATAAATGATACTGATGGAAAAACGCTCAAGAAGCGCCAAAGATTGGAGACTGTGCCCTAATTCATGACGAATGTCTTCCCCCTACGGAATGGCGACTCGGCCGTATAGAGAAACTATATCATGGCTCCGACGGTCATATCCGCGTAGTTGATCTCCGTACACAAAGCGGCATACTAACTCGACCACTCGTCAAGCTATGTTTCCTTCTAACCGCCTCTCCTACCGGTTGCGCGAATACCGGTACCTAAAATCGTCAAACCGCAATAAACGCAACAAAGCCGTAACAAAAACCGAGAATATCAAAAGGTGCATAAATCCGTACCCTCAAACCCACACCAAGTGGCTTACGCCTAGCAATCATGTTCATAACTGCTTGCATCTATTCTATACTAAAGTCCGTTCTCCCCTAATGTAGATAAATATGGACGTGGAAATGATTGAAGCCGCACCAACTCCAACTATCCGTTCGGAAATCACCGTGCCCCGCTCGGCAGCACCGCCAGTAGCAGCTCCTCGCTCTACTGTGCCGCTTACCGCAGCAGCTTCGGCCGCAGCGCCTCGAAACCTCACGCCCCGACCCGCCGCCGCTCCGACGGCATCACCACGCGCAGAACCTCTACAAAGGAGCCCAGCAGCCGTACATGGCGTACGATGTCCGCTATGTCGTCGCCCACATAAGCTACGCCTATGCTCCATTTTTAGGAGTATGCAGCCGCCGCAGCGCCAGCAAGTCGCGCAAGCTCGTGGGTACCGCCTGAACTGCTTGGCGCTATCGCACGCAACGAGGGAGTGCGCCTCACCCATCATGTGCCAACTGTTCGACAGACCGCACCGCACGAACCATTCCCGAGACACCAGTTACCCGCAGTAACCGGCGACGAAGATCGCCGGCACCAGCCTACGCAACGTCTNCGAAGGGTTATGTGGCTGTCTTTGTATGCTTTACGACAAAGGCAGTACACTTCGAGCTATGTTCTGATCTGACCACTGCAGCTTTTCTTGCGGCATTTGCTCGCTTCGTCGGACGGCGAGGATTTCCATCCAAAATAATGAGCTACAATGGAAAAACCTTTGTCGGAGCCAAAAGAGCCACTGAAAAACTATTTATAAAATTTATAGAGGAAGTCTCGCCTGAAATCATTGATTGGCAATTTATCCCACCAAGTGCCCCACATATGGGTGGACTATGGGAATCAGCTGTAAAAAGCTTCAAAACACATTTTAAAAAAGTCTCTGGCACACACAAATTTAACTTTGAAGAATTTACTACATTATTAACCCGAATAGATGTCGTTCTTAACTCACGGCCCCTCTCTGCGCTCTCGCAAGATCCCTCCGATTTCACTGCCCTCACCCCTGGGCATTTTCTTAGAGGAGCTCCACTTCTGGCAATACCCGAACCAGACGAGCAATCCTTATCTTTAATGAATCGATGGGAACGAATGAAAATTCTCCATCATGAATTCAGTCGAAGATGGAAGGAAGATTATTTAAAAGACCTCCATAAATGATACTGATGGAAAAACGCTCAAGAAGCGCCAAAGATTGGAGACTGTGCCCTAATTCATGACGAATGTCTTCCCCCTACGGAATGGCGACTCGGCCGTATAGAGAAACTATATCATGGCTCCGACGGTCATATCCGCGTAGTTGATCTCCGTACACAAAGCGGCATACTAACTCGACCACTCGTCAAGCTATGTTTCCTTCTAACCGCCTCTCCTACCGGTTGCGCGAATACCGGTACCTAAAATCGTCAAACCGCAATAAACGCAACAAAGCCGTAACAAAAACCGAGAATATCAAAAGGTGCATAAATCCGTACCCTCAAACCCACACCAAGTGGCTTACGCCTAGCAATCATGTTCATAACTGCTTGCATCTATTCTATACTAAAGTCCGTTCTCCCCTAATGTAGATAAATATGGACGTGGAAATGATTGAAGCCGCACCAACTCCAACTATCCGTTCGGAAATCACCGTGCCCCGCTCGGCAGCACCGCCAGTAGCAGCTCCTCGCTCTACTGTGCCGCTTACCGCAGCAGCTTCGGCCGCAGCGCCTCGAAACCTCACGCCCCGACCCGCCGCCGCTCCGACGGCATCACCACGCGCAGAACCTCTACAAAGGAGCCCAGCAGCCGTACATGGCGTACGATGTCCGCTATGTCGTCGCCCACATAAGCTACGCCTATGCTCCATTTTTAGGAGTATGCAGCCGCCGCAGCGCCAGCAAGTCGCGCAAGCTCGTGGGTACCGCCTGAACTGCTTGGCGCTATCGCACGCAACGAGGGAGTGCGCCTCACCCATCATGTGCCAACTGTTCGACAGACCGCACCGCACGAACCATTCCCGAGACACCAGTTACCCGCAGTAACCGGCGACGAAGATCGCCGGCACCAGCCTACGCAACGTCTCCGTCGTGCAACCGGACTACGCAACGTAGTGGAGACCCTGCAGCAACTCCAGCAACTACTAGGCTGAAGACTCGCCTAGGGGGGCCGGGATGGCTAAATGCGCTCGGCCGTTCCCCCTTTTTCGACCGTGAATGGCTCCGTTCAACAGCAGCAACACTGCCTAATCGCCTACTCACCACGGCCCGTTCCACCCACGTACACATAATACACCTACACACACACACATATACACATGAATTGTACTTACTCATACGCACACACTTGAATTACAACATAATATGCAACAAGACACAATTGTGCGAATGTCAACGTGTTCAGACGTGTTCTGCGATATAACCCCGCCAAGCCAATAAAGTGCGAAGTTGAAGTCTCCCCGAAAATTTTAAGTTTTTATTTTTCTCTTTTTTTTGGAAAAAGTGGTGAGTGTGCCCCCCAAAGGGTCTTGCCCTTGGTGTGAGAATAGCCAATATGTAAGTATAATTTTGATTACTTTCTTCATGCGTTCTGAAACCTAGTAGGTACTCAACCTCCTTTTCGAAATTATGAATAATTTTACAAGTCCATTATATTTCACATCTTTGAATGTACTGATAAAATCTTCTGCTTTAAAAAAATACTTATTCTGGTGATCGGGTAGCATGAATTCGATGAAATGTCATAATTTTATTAAAAGTCAAATGGTTAACAATAACAAGGAATGTCATTAAATTTAACTACCTTTTTTTTTGTATTATGACTTGAAGTACTTATGTATGTGCTAATTGACTTATTTTCTACAGGCATCAGCGGCCGAGAGCCTTTCTATATTTCCAAATGCGCGTCTTGAACTTTGCGACATGTACTGCAGCAATCAAAACTTAAGCGTACATACATCAGTGGCTTTGAAGGTAGGTCGGAATGATAAACAAATTGTGAATACTAGAAATGAAGATATGAAATTGAAATGCTAGCGATATTTTCTTCATGATATTTGAGTAAATGCATAGACAGACAATAAGGTTAATCCGAATTAAGGATGCAGTTGATCCGACTAAAATTGTCCCCTGACAGACGTAATGGGCTTGGTTAGGGTCCCGCATAAATGTTTTATTTTTTTTTGCGTTATTAACTAATTTTTTAGAAGAAGAATTATATTTTATTATGACCTTTTTATAAAGTCAAACTCAAAAGTTCAAGGAAACAAAAATAAAATGAATTAAATTGTATTAAGAAATTAAATAAAACGAAATAAAAGAATAAGTAAGATAATTAAAAATAAAGAATAAAATAATAATTAAAATAAGTTAAATAAAAACCGCAAATTAAATTGAACAAAAAAATTGCGTATGTGAAATTATATTAACTTAAATTAAAACAAATAAGAAATTAAATAAACGGATATGAATAAAATGAAATAAAAAGGGAAATAAAATAAAAAATAACATTTAGTAAAATAAAATGAAATAAAACAAAATAAAATAAAATAAAATTAGGGAAAAGGCTTCTCGTAAAATCCATTTTCTTTCGGAAGCGGCGTAAAACTTTAGGTCCCACCATTTGTGTAACAATATCAATACGCGCACCACAAATTGGAGAAGAAGTTCAGCCAAATACAAACATATTGCGTAATCGCCAATCTATCATTATTATTAATGCATGAACAAAACAAACTCTAATAACAAAAGGATAAAAAATTAAAAATTGGTATTATGCTACTTGGGTTTATATCAGGGTATAATAAAATTGTTTCCAAAACCCGCTCACATACATATCGTCGCTTAAAGTACAATACCGCATATCACGATAATACAAAACCGCATATTTAAGGTAACCAAGATTTTACAGGAGAGAGTAAAAATTTATGCTAGTCTTGATCAGCGGTATTGCAACCAGTGTTGCCACTGTTGGTCTTTTCCGACCAAATTTGGTCACTTCTTTTTCATTTACTATGTTGGTGGGCAAAGTAAGATTTTAGTCGGATAGTTGAATTAAGATTTAAATTCTTAATTATAACAATATATATTTCAAACATCATTTTGCATATGAATATTTGCCCTTTTAAACATTTGCTAACCCTGCCTTTAAAAATAAAAAACCTATTTGGTTTGGCCACTGATGGAGCCAATGTTATGTTATGTTTATGTAAAGTACACATGCCACTCACTTCTCCTTTGCTCAAGCTGCGCTTGTAAAAAATTCCCGAAAAGCATTGAGACACTGTGCCGCAACATATATAGTTTCTTTTGCCACAGTCCAAAGAGGATACATGAACTGAAGGAATTTCAGGACTACTGTTCGGTAAACCCCCACAAAAACTTGGGCATATCTCAAACACGATGGCTTTTACTAGAAAGCGTTGTGTTAAGGATAGTTTGAAACTTTATTTTATTTTACTAAGTAAACGGTATACGATCTGCCGAAGGTATGTCTTGCAAAACCAAATGCTATTTTTTATTTCTATAGTATATTTTGCCTATAATTAACAATCTTAACAAAGAGTTCCAAGCTGAAAGCTCTCGTCAAAGCGCATAATCTCTTAATTTTGAGTAACTTTATTAAAAAAGATACGATCAATAACCATATTAATATTGAATTTAAAAATGAAAATAATCATATTCAAATATCTGGCATTTTTGTTGGAACGAAAGCTGAGATGTTTATGAGAAGTGATGTCAATTGTTCTGAAATTCTTGAAGTCAAAACAAATATGTTAAAGTTTTACAGGGTATTTGGACCACATAAATTTAATATTTGATTTCAAGCGTGAAGATATAAAACTTTTACATACATATAATAACACCAGCTAAGGTAGTTTCGAAAGAAGATATACAAATTTTACCTCTTTTGTTAAAGTTTCCCATCTCACAAATTGCGAACCTGATCTAATAACCATGCAGTGGAATTTACTGAGGCTAAGTGAGCTTGATATTTCCAGCGATATGGATATTGATATGTTTTGGGAAAAGTTTATTCTATTAAATATGGAATGAATGAAAACAGCTCGCCAATTTTGTTTTTAATATAATTTCATTACCACTTAGCTCTACGGCTGTAGTACACAATTTTTCAACGCTTTCTTTGATAAAAACTAAACTAAGAAATAAACTTAAGATTGACAGTAAATATAGCATAATGTTATGCAAGGAACTAGGAATGAAACGATATCATGCAGGTAATGATACTACCGGTCAGATCTGTTCTAATTGGTTCATGCCCGCTAATGTTTACAGCGCAAAGAATTATTTAGTTATTCAGTGACTTTTACATCGCGTTAAAAGGTCTGTACTGAAAATCTCCACTTCACACTTCCACTCGAACAATTGGTCGTGTAAACGTTGCAAACCATCGACTTTGGTGAAGCAATTGGATCGCGTGTAAGTGAAAATCTCTCAAGTGGGCCACCCGAAATTGGACGGTCAAGATTTTTCCACGCAAATCCCTTTATTCGGTTTACAACCATAAAAAATATAATTTGAGCAATTTTGCAAAACTCGAAGTTTTACAGAGTTATTGTTATTAACTTTTTTTATGAATTCAGTAATTATTTATTATCCAATGATTCATAGCATGTATCTTGTCGATTTTTGTCATGATAATATGTAGTTAATTAGACACGCTTTAGCCTGATTGTTTAAATTTTTCAAATAGTCATTATTTTGTTAAAAAAAATTTTAATTTTTATCAAAAATTTGTATAAACAAATGGAAATATTTATTACTTCTCGATCAAATTTTTTAATCGTTTACATTGAATATCAATCCTTATTATATAATACAAAAGAAAATAAACGGAAATTTGCTTGGAGTCGCGAGTCGCGCGGGCTCGCAGCGACAGTGGTGCAACCAGAGAATGCACAAAGAAATTAAAATTTATTTATAAACTTAAGTTCATTGGTGCTCCAGGAGACAGGGAACAATTACAGGCGGACCTTAGTAATGTGTTTAAATGGTGTGAAGTAAATTCTATGTCACTTAACTTGAAAAATTGTAAATTTATGTGTTTCTCTAGAAGACCCTATCAATCATATAGCTACCGCATTTGTGAACATAGTGTTGATCAGGTAACTAATTTCATCGATCTAGGCGTAACCATGGACCCTAAGCTTGAATTCAAGTCCCATGTAAACTCTTGTGTTAATAGAGCCAAGGGCGTCTTGGCTTTCATCAAACGTTGGGCTAAAGAATTCAGAGATCCTTATGTCACTAAAGCTCTCTTCACCTCCCTAGTCAGGCCGATCTTAGAATACGGGTCCGTCGTATGGAACCCTAGATATCAAACGCACTCTGACAGACTCAAGTCGGTACAGAAACAATTCTTATTATTCGCATTAAATAATTTGCCTTGGGATTCAACCAAATCTCCCACCGTACAAAAGCCGCTTGAAGCTCATAAATTTGCCAACGCTGCACAGCCGTAGAGAGATGCTCGGGGTTTTGTACATGATTAAGATCTTGAACGGGATGGTCAATAGTCCCTTTCTACTGAACCAGATCACGTTTTGTATTCCTTCTAGGCCTTCTAGATATTACATGCCCATTAAGCTAACTATTTGTAGAACAAATTTTGAAATGCATGATGCTATGCCAGGACTTTAATAAGCATAACGACTATTTTGACACCTCCGACTCCCTGTTTACCATTAATAAATCCTTACTTGAATAAATAACATGTAAACCCTTACATTGCACCTTATCGTTCAGCTGGTGAACTGTATTTCTGTTCAGTTTATGAGGTAAACCTGGTCGACTCGCATACTTTCTCGACTGCGCCACGGTTGTGTTGAGCATTTGTAGATCAAACTTTGAAATTCATGATGCTTTACGATGGCTATGCCAAGATGCAACAAAAATTATGATTGCTGCGACATATCTGAATCGCTTTTTTGTACATAACTAAATAAATTAATATATTTAACCGGGAACGATAAATTACACAATATCTATGACTGCTTAATACAACTGTAATCGGCTTCGTATATTTTCGCGACCGCGTGTGACAATACGAGCATTCGGAAACTCGGCCTTTCCGACCATGATCAACAACTTGTCCACAGCGAAGGGCGGAAATTAGAGCTTTCCGCCTGCGCAACACTCTAAGTAATGACTTCGGGAACTTGGATCGGAAACTCGTTCTTTCCGACCATGATCAACAGCTTGTTCATAGCGCGGAGCGGAAACTAGAGCTTTCCGCCTGCCACACATATAAACTAATGACTTCGGGAACATGGATCGGGAACTCGTTCGTTCCGCCCATGATCAACAGCTTGTTCATAACGCGGAGCGGAAACTAGAGCTTTCCGCCTGCCACACATATAAAGTAATGTCTTCGGGAACATGGATCGGAAACCCGGCCTTACCGACCATGATCAACAGCCTTTCCGCAGCGCGGAGCGGAAACTAGGTCTTTCCGCCCGCCGCACACAAACGTAGACTGAAGACTAGGCCTCGCCAGCTACCAAACCTGCTATTTTATATTATTATTACAAATTACAAATTAATCTATATATTAATACGCTAACATAAATTTTGTCTCCGTTCGTTTGGCGATTCTACCAAACCGATTTCAAAACCAAGAACACCGTTGGAAAGGCATTTTTCCGTAGATGAGCAGAGTTTTTATGGTTTCACAATTGGTTGAAAACCGTCGTTTAAACATTTCCCATTAGTGTATAGATGTTGCTGCAACATGTTCAATTTGACATGTTTCGCCTGTTGTTTCACTACACATTTGAAATTAAGCTTTGAAATAAAGATAGATATGAAGATGAAGAAATAAACGATAACGATGAAGTCAAAAAAAAGAAGGGAAAAGTGAAGACAAAGACGAAAATGGAGACAATGACAGATACATAAGAATTAGGGTAACTGAAAGGGTAAGAACATTTCTTGATTTTATGAAGTGAAACTTC